AATAAACATTTTACAAAAGCATATTAGATGAATATTAATATAGGTACTGAATAACATACTAAATATAAATTTTCAAATTTAGAGTAAATATTTATACATGCAAGAAGCCTCAAATATCATTCGTCATCGAACGAAATTATTATTATACTGGTTCAAAATAAATTTAATAACGCTGAGTTTTAGAAAGTATACACATGACCTTCTTTAAAGAATGAAAGAAGAACGCTGCAGCACATTTAGAGAAATTTTTTTTCGGGTAAGAGTTGCTTCAAAACTAAAGAACTAAATTTAATGCTGTATTTATTATAAGTTTTAATATGCATTTTAAATCTATGAAGAAGTCATGAAGTATGAAGCTAATTTTTATACCTTCACTTTGTAATGCACAGTTTTTTTTAAATCTTCGGAAAAAAATTTGGGCGATGCATTTTTATAACGTAATTCTAGAATGAAAGAACAGATTTTGTCTTCTGCATTTTGACATAATTTAAAATTAAAGGTTTTGAGTGTAGAAATGCTGTAATATTTTGATTGAATTTCTTTTGAAATCAAAAAATAAATATGCTTTTATATAAGCTATTTTCAGAAATAAAATGTATTAATGAACATGTTTAGCATAATAGCATTTTTCAAATGGTGCGTCACAACTTTTCTTTTCAATAACCCTATTATGCAACTTTATGATTACTGGTGTTTTCTGATTAGATCTCATAGCAACTTATCAATATGAAACACTTTAGCCCCCTCAAGATAATATCCAGTTTCATCATTTAAGCTATTTTCTCATCACTTTGATATAGAACTTTGAACTGTTTACAGTTATATGATGTCCTCATCGTAAATAAAAGCATTCGTCAGTCATCAGTATAATGGCGTTTTGATCCAAGAAATGCTTGTTCCCAAGAGTTATTTTTCGCCATTGGAAATAATACATGTGTTATTTTAAGAAGCAAAGCAGTGAGATTTTTGATTAGATTGGTTAAATATAGGAAGTCTGTAAGAGATTCAACTTCTCTGTTTTGACAGGTTCAGTATCACTTTCTTTTAAAAGAAAGACTGTAAATTAACTTTTTTTGAGGGAACATTTTCAAGAAAGTTCCGTATTAGCAAAATTTTAATCTTCATATAAAAATAATAAAAAAATCATAGTATACTAAAGTAACTAGATGATCTACATCGTGCGGGCAGTACAGCATTTCAATGCAGTATCTCGCTTCAAGCCAATTAAATTGCACCTTCGTTAGGTATTCTCCATACAGCTATAAATTTGCAATCATTAAAAATGAATTAATAATAGTTTTGACTTGACAATAAATAAATTTACCCTAATCTTTCACTGAAGAAATAATTAGTTCATCCAGGAAAGAAATCTAATATTTTGATTTTGCTAAGTTTCACGATTATTTCAAATTGGTACATAAGATTTCATCATCGTGTACTTTTATTCCGATATCTGCATGCCTCGATGAAGACAGTGTTTTTTTTTTTTTTTTTTTGTTTTCATGTGAAAAAAAATGAAAATATTAAGGGTTAAAAATGGTATTGTGGTCCCATAAAGCTTGAGGTCTTGCAGGCTTTGAAGTAAAATACAAGCTGCTTATTACTACTGGCATTCTGCTATATAAATGCACATACCATACAGTACATATAGTATACCATATAGCATATTAAGCATCAAGAAACATATACTGCCATCATATGTATCTTTATCATATCTTCATCATCATCATTGCATATTATATAATTAGAAAACCATGATATTAATAATTAAAATTCGATATTTTATATTGTCTCAAAAATACGAATGCAGTCATAAAAACCGTTATGGTAAGTACACAGTTGGATGCTATTTGCGGGTTTATTATATGTTTACAAATATACGTTTTTACCTTCATTTTAAAATGATTTACAGCTTTAAAGCGATGCGACAACGTCTAAAACAATTTACTTCTGAAAATAGCATTTTTAATTCTGATTTATGTCAATGATAATAGAGTATATCAATTTGAATAAAAGCTTGAACACAGTGGCACAAGGAAGCTACTCAGCGATTTGTTTTACCTTTCACTTCCTAGATACAAGTTGAGAAGTTCTGTTGCTTTTCAACACCTTTCACTTAAAGAAAATAGAGAATAAATAAACCAGTTATGACTTATTTTTCTATCCACATCTACTTAATTGTATGAGAAAGATTATCCCCAATTTTGAAGCTAGGAAAGGTTTAAATCTTAAAACACCTGTGTCCCTAGCGGATTGTATAAAGAAAATGTACTTGTACTTATATAACACATGGCGAGTAAATATAGGAAATCTTACGCAGGCTATCTGGTATACTAGGAAATGGTTTTTAAACTTAACTACCAGGTGAAAGAGCTTTATATCTTTCTACCATTGTTAAGCTTTCCGATATGAAAAAAGGACAGAAGTTGTATTACACAAAACAAGTATTTCTTGTTTTTTTTAAAAAAAAAAAAAAAAAAAAAAAAAAAAACAGATAGCTTTCTTGTAACTTTAGGAAAATGTTATCTTATTGAGAATAGGTAATACCCTAGATACTAGATGTGCAGTCTTACGGGTCAATATTTTATTTATCTGCCCTGATTAGGAGGTTTGATATTTCAAGCAAAGCAATGTTTTCGATATATTCACCGAAAGCAGAAAAGGCAAGATATATAAATGTAAATGAACGATTAAAATGCGTTATTTATACAAAATATCTTATAAATTTGGACGCATTTAAAAAATTACATATAATAGGCAAATTTTTAACTGGTGTTATCATATGCTTATTTATGACATACTTTAATTCAGCTGTTTCCTGATAGTGCTATTAGTAACACACTATCCCTTGTCCTCCATAATGGCTGACGAGGCATAGATACAACAAGTCTACAGAAGTGTTCCAGAGGTATGACCTGTCATATAGTATCTAAATGATCCATAAATCAATTAATTTTAGTAATGGATGACATGTTGGCAAACCGTTTGGCTCCACCAGTATACAAGTGGTTAAAGACCAGTTAAAGCTGGTAATTAGACCCGGATTCAAATCCAGCCGAATGGGGTGGGTCGCATGCTCATTTTTCGTGATTTTTTAGGCGTGTGATGTGAATTCGGGCCAATTTCTTTTAGAAAGCCTTTCAAGAAGGCATTTACTCCCTCAGAGAGATAGCTTTTGTGTACTTTGCCATACACAAGTAGCTTAAAGCTAACCTTACCCGCGTTTTGCCTCACTGTCTCAACGGCGCTCAATGTCCATTCTCGGTGGCAATTTTAGCAGGTAGCAGCAGTGAAATGCTCCTCGAACTAGATGGTAACCAACTGGGATTTGTAATAGGAGCAATTGTCCTGTTGGTACATTTCGTTTCCATTCTGATGACAGAAAAGTATAAAAGGATGTAAGCATACCCAGCGGATCTGCGTTCTTGGATACAGTGACGGTGCTTGGTACAAATGCTAAAAGCTCCAAACACCGAGAAGAGAAATCACCCCAGACATTATTGAGCAGCTAATGCCTTTCCAGTGCCAAAGTGTCAGTTTCAACCTGGCACGTTGGATTCATGGCTTCATTGGCATGGCACACATTTTATTAGCCCACCATTACCATGACTGCAGTTTGAATTAATACTCATCGCTTGTATTCTACTCCTTTTCGGTCGTCGATGAATCGTAATATTTTGTGACCCACTGAAGATGCTGAACATGGTTGCGGCTAGTGAAGTAATACTCGGGTGCCTCTTCGTTTTCTGAAGCCATTTGTTGAAGCGAGCGTCTACTGACTGTCCGATTGGATATCTCATTCAATTGTATGATCACCTGAACTAGAGTTCAGTGCAGCGGTTCTCAACCTTTTCATGCGTACTGTCTAAACAAAAATTGAAAATATTTAGTACCACCACTACAAAGTACCACTACCACCACCGCTCTCGAATAAATTTACGAGTGTAAGAGAAAAAACTCAATCAGGATGTTGGGGTTTTAATTTTTGAATTTAATAGTTAAAAATACTTTTCTTCTTTGCATACACCTATTTTTCTCTTGCGTACCACTCGCTTAGAACCCCTGGTCTAGTGCCTTTGGCTATGTACAATACGGTTGAGTCTTTGAAATATTCCTGTTGTTACGTTTAAAGCCATTTAAAGCTGAATGTTTCTTGCAGTTTGCCCGATTATTAGGAATGCGCTCTGTGTTTTAATATTCAAGGTACAGCACTGGTCAAATAATTTCCAGAAACGTTATGAAGGGTTCATAATAAATTGTTGCATGAGAAACATGGCGAAAACTGATAACAAATTCATAAATAAAATTTTACATTTCCTAATTAAAATGCTGTGAAAATACTTATTTATATGTTTATATTTATATTTATATTAAATTAGTTAAGCCTTCCATTAAGTCACGCGGTTGCAATAGGTAGGAGCATTTTCATTTGTTTAGGATTTAAATGTTCAGATTATATACTTACAGGAAACGTACAGGAATAATTTTTTATAGCTGATTATAAAAATTAATTACTATTGTTCAAATATGATTCAAGAGTATATTAAGTTTGAATTTATTATAATTTTCTCTCGAAATTTCTCTGTAATAACAGTAAAAAAAATACAATTTTGTCTCATTCTGATGACAAAAATTCATAAAAAATGAGTGCCATGTTCAAACGACAAATTGTCTCTTTACTTCTTAGAAAATTCTATAGACTTCATTATAGATTATACTCTTTATCTATCACTTTTGAATAATTAATAGTGCCTGACATTTAAAATTGTTTGCTGACTCATCCTAAATTTCATTTTGAAATTTAGAAAGAACAAAATTGAAGTAAAGCGATAAAAACTGAATAACTGTCAGCAACAACAGAAAAAACCTGAAGAACAGATCCTGCTACAGAGAAGTACAAACCTGTACCCCACAGTACCCTTACATATATTTCTAGCCTGATATACACTCCTCAAAGTACCGGCCGAGCAGTCGAAGGTAAAAATTTGAAATTTACTTACTTCATAAGCACTTGTGACTCCGAGATTGTAAAATACAGGTAGATATAAGTATGCCGTGGAAGGTACCACCAGACAGAAAGCCACATTAATAATGATGTACTGAGTACCATATCTGTAAACTTCTGCCGGCGTTCCTAGTAGCGTTATGGCAGACATGAAGCTAGCCAGGACAGACATAGCGACTGGGAAAATACTCAGAGATCTTCCACCCATGAGAAATTCTTGTGTGTCGCTCTTTTTACGGTCAACGATTGCGTACCATATTCCGATACCCGCAGAGATGGCCAGCATGGCAGCGAATACCACATAGTCCACGGTACCAAAAACGTCTTTCATAACGGAGGCCATTTTTACCTTCTATAATTTTCTCGAATTCACAGTGCCAGCTTCAGAAATCTGGATATGATTGTTGTTTGATCAGTCCTAAAAATTAAATACGGAAATAAATAACAGCTTATTTACAAAAGACAAGCATCAGTTATTATTACTTTGCACTTTTCACCCAAAATGAGATACTTTGAAATAGATACTTTCACAGTACATACAGTGGAATGCTGAACATTAAGAGTGAAGCTTATTGAGATCTGGAATTTTCAAGAATCTCTGGATTAATGAGCTGTCTGCTATTTATATATCAAATATATATTTACTAAAAGAGAAAGAATAACAATTTTCTTCCGAATTCTACAAGGATCTCAATAAGGGTTTCAAATCTGACTTCTCAAATTCGTTGTAAAAGACTAACAGGAAGAAAAGAAAAAAAAATACCTATCATTAAAAATTTTTAATAAAGGCAAAATTTCTAATCTGTGCTTAATAAAAACAAATTAAGGTAGCTCTTCCAAAAACACACCTGTTGTTAAAGAAACAAATTAAACTTACTAAATGAAATAGATAATGACGCTCTGAATCTGAAATTTAATTTCCTCCGATAAACATACTTGAGTAATAGCTCACATTGTTTATAATTTTTCAAAATCTTTTTTAATCAAACAAGCGTAGAGGAAGGGCGATTATTTTAAAAGTTAATGTAGGAAAACACTAAATATAGCGTTCTAAATTCTTGTTAGAAAATTAAAAGTGTGATAGATAGGCAGATAGTGTCGCTACGGGACGATGCTGGTGATCCAGGTACAATGAAATTGTAACAATCGCAATTTTTCTTCTAGTGGTATTTCTGTTGTACTTCAATAAAACCAATCTTCCAAAGTTTTAATTTAAAATCATTAAGTATTTTCTAAACTAGTGTTCAAATAACGAAAACACTGCGACTATTCGAGTTTGTACTCGAGTCTTTGGCAAGATTTTTATTTACTCTAATGCAAGCAAGAAATAATTTTTATTTGTTTACTAGAGTTTCTTTCTGCAAAAGAGTATATACTAATATAGATAAATTTTTTATTCTCATATAGTTTCCCCACTCACAATTATTCTTTCTACTCGTATTTCAATTAAAATAATATAAAAAAATTAATTTTTATTTAAGTGGGCTTTCATAATATTATTTCTAAACATACTTTTATTTCTATCTTTATTGCTTAAAAATCCATATCTTTTTTAATTCGTTGTTTTAAAAATGAAAGGAATAAACTTTTTACTAGCCCAAAGGGGCAATTTGCCCAGAAGGGCTATAAATTTCGTTTTGGCATTTTGCGTTGATTCATTATAAACGGCGAATCACTTTTTAAATTGTTGCTACCCAATATTAGAACACTGTATTATATTTAAAGAAATTAAATAATAAAGAATCTGCATAAATGTATGTATGTTTCTCGCATTGTGATAAAACAACGGTACCTAGAGCCATCAAATTTTGAATAACGTACGCCTCCATCCGAATATGGGCATCTGGAAGTACAAATTTGGAATTTGGAATTTGTTTTATTATCTATTTCACATTTTGTAAAGCATTTATGAGTTTTTGATTAAGAAACTCAAAGATTTCAAAGCGAGCAATCACAAGATTGTAAAAAAAAAAAAAAAAAAAAAAAAAAAAAAAAAAAATTATCTCCAGCGCCGAGACTGTGTGTCGAAAATTCTAAGAATATGCTCTTTTTAAATATTTTGTGATATTGCTGTTGAATTGAATTTTATGGTTTAAATTCGATGAACATGATATTTAATAAATAAAGGTAACACAACCAAATGTTACAAAGACGCGCCTTTATGAGTAATATAAAAATCTGAGAACTTTGATTTTTTTTTTTCTTTTTTTTTTTAAATTATTTTATTACTTTATTTAAAAATACTATATTTATTGACGTAAGGATAAAAATAATAAAATTAAAGGTATGCGAAGATAAATCAAATATTGTCCTCCTTTATGCCATAATAATTCTTATATTATCATTTTATATACATACATGTTAAGAGGTTGACATATATGTTAAGAGCTTTTATACATATATGTTAAGAGGTTGACTATTTATAACTTTTTTAATTAACTAACTTTCTTAACTAACTTAATTGTAATTTTTTTCATCACATTTCCCCTCCTTTTCCTGGTGAAACATGACTGCACCAGTATCCATTCTCAACAAGAGAAAAAAAAAAAAAAAAAAAAAAAAACTGTGATCCGTTTTCTACAGTTTGAAAGGTGCTCCAAGGACTAAAATTTACAAACAGCCCTTTTAACACAATATAAGTGTTTTACCACCGTGTAGTAATAAGTGTTTTACCGCCGTGAATGAAGAATGAATAGAAATATTCAGAAATGGTCGAAAACGTATATTATAAGGAAGGAAGGTTTTTAAGCTTAGGCATTGCAAAAGACTACCTTAACCAGAGCACACATGAGTTTCATACGCCGATAAGTGACTTCAGTAAGGGGGCGAATAACTGTGAAATTAGCCATGGTTTGCATATGAGATTATTCATAAAAGAATTTGATTGTTTTCAAAATAGCTCACTGAAGGTCAACAATGTCCTGTAAACTTAATAGGCGTTTGGCACTACATGGCGCATATTTAGTGTATGATTACAAGCATACATGCCTTTTCTGAGATTAACAATAGACAGCTGCATGGCAAGTACATTAGCTAACTACCATATCGTAACTTTAATTAGGAAAACAAAAACGAGTTTAATTAACGGTGTAGTACCTTGATTTGCACAATAATTAAAACATTTATAAGGAAGCCCTAAGATGGTAACATTGACCAGTATGCCATTACAGTAAGTACATTACATGCGCAAAGACCACTCTGCGAGTTGTAGGATGAGAAATAAAATTAAAGAAGAATAAAAAGGCAGAAAGTTTAGAATAAAAGGTGCACTACAAATAACCAGCACTACGCAAGATACTGAGAAAATTTCCAGCACAAAGTTTCAAACTTAAATTTTTAAATTTATGTAAATATAATATTGGCTAAATTTTTAAACACCGGCATTGTACATCATCAGTTAAACACCATTATCACTGAATATTGTTCATCATTATCATAAATATTTAAGTGACAAGAATTCTGCAGATAAAATTAGAAATAGAAGCAAAAGTGATTAAAATTTTCAGTAAAACCTGAGACGTAAGCTAAGCTTATCTAAATCGGCTAAGTTCTTTTCTAGCGGTAGCATGGAGGATATCTTATCACTCTGTGCGTGTGTAGAACATGTTGGTGAAGGCTGGTAGCTCAGGATAACCTGTTGGTAGAGGACACCGAGAGAAGGATCTGGATATGATCCCCAATTAGAGAATCAGATACTTGAATTGTGTGTCGATTTCATACAGAAAATTTATTTCAACCAGGGTTTGATTAAGACAGCTTTTGGCCTGGCGAGCAATTACTCAGTGTGCAACACCTCCCACGATTCTAGGTTTTTTTAAGAATAAAAAAATGAATTTTGGGGGAGTTGGAGATAAGACACTGACCCCATGCCTCTGGCTTAAGCAGTTAAAAAACAAAACTAATTTTTATTGTACAAATCATTTTAATGTTTCATTAAAAACCTCAGCTTGAAGTCTTAACAATTTTATTCTTAAAAGACAGCGATTTCTCTTTCTTATAGGATTTGGGTAGAACTTTGTCTAACATATTGCTCAAAGTAAGTAGCAGAATTATTAATTACAATAACTAAATTTAAATCTTTGTCATCTAAGCTTGATCGAAATTGAATTTTACTTACGGTCCTTTAATACTTTCCTATCGTATATCATCATTTAGAACATTTTTGCCAGTTTTATGACAATCCTAGCATTTAACTATTCATTAAAACGATTCAGCTGTTATCACAAATAATTATCGAAAAATTTGTTTTAAGGAATAATATGAATTCTATATCAGTTAGATTTCCTCAATAAATCAAATAGCAGATGATGAGTTTTTTCCTTTCGTAAACGACTGTCTGTTTGCATATATCTGAATTATAATTTCAACAAGGTCATTTATAGAAGTACAAATTACCAATTTGTGTTTCACAGCGCTCATTCGAGCTTAATAAGGATGAAGGTAATGTATTATTCTGAATTTACTTTACAGTGTGAATTTCATTTTCTCTAACACATTGAAACTTATGCATCTGAAGACTTAACATTTTTGAAAATTGAAATATTTTAAAAGCTCTTTTAAGATCTGACTTGATAAAAACCTCAATTCTACCTGAAATATGTAAAAATTTGAAGTATATATTAATGAATTCTGAATATAATATAAGTTACTTATGCATGTATTTCTTGCCCTTTCCCAATTTTTTTAAATCATTAGGAAAGCTCTATATTGAGAATAATGAAACAGATTTTAGTAACATCCACGTTTTTCTCTTCTTCCATAATATGTGTATGCTAAAGCAATAAAAAGTTCTATAAAAACGCTGAAATTTGAAAAACAATATTAATAATTAAAAAATGTATTACAATGCAGATGAAATTTTATTAATATAAAAATTAAAGCTTCCAAAATGTAAATTTTACTTCTTGAATATTTTAAAATTTAACAGACTTAGTGCAGTAAAAGTAAAGAAATTAGAAATATTTTTAAAAATCTAGAAAATGTAATAATTAATGGCATATGCACACAAATGTTGTGATCAAAATTAACCAAATATTTCATGATGCAAATCATAAATATTCGATATCACAAGATGTTTTCACATTTAACTTATGCTACAATATAGATTTAAGTTAGATCAATTTATTTTAAACTTAAATCATATGAATGAAACTAGTAATTTAAGAATTTCTATTACGCTTTTTAAACAACTTTTCATTAATTAGTTACACATAAAACCGAGGAGTTACATATAAAGAACTCAAAATATAAACACGATGTAGTATAACTTACATTCAGATTCACACAACTGTAATCTGCGGCAGAAACCAAAATTTTTAAAACTTAGCAAACTCTTTATGTTACAAAATGAGAAATTTCTCAACTATTCTCTCACCCCTAACTATCCTTAATGCAACACTTATTTTTAAAAGTCTATTC